CATTAACAGATTTCTTTCCTGATTCAACTTTCACAATATCCCAGGTGGTTTTAATTTTATTGTTTGATTTTAGAATTTGGCTGTTATAGTTATTCTGTTTGGCTTCTTTAATGACTTTTGACAAAATTTTACAGTACATTTTGTAGTGACTTTTTAGTCTTGGATCATTACTGTCCCTACTGGCCAAATATAGTTGTCTTTTGTGTTTACATGAAGTTTTTATTCCAATTGTTATCCAGGTGGATTTGTTTTTATTTTCATTTTTGACTATTTTTAAGGGAAAGCTTGAATAAAAGATCCTCAAGTATGTGTTCAGAAAGCAATTAAATTTAGAATCAATATTATTGCTGTCAAATACATTGTCCCATGATTCATTACTTAATTTTGTGACAAAATCTGCCATCGTATGCTTGTTGATTTTCCTTACTGTTTGATATTGTTGATTACTGGACTGAAGGTCAATATTATTTATTTCTATGAGTTGAGCATCATGATCGGATAAGCCATTTATAAAGGGTCCTACAGTATAGTCTCTTAATTTTGAGTTATCAATGAACCTTCGGGTTCCATAAAATGCTGGGAAGTTCTTGAATAGCCGCACAATTGGCAGCTTCTCAAGAAAGGCTCCGCTCCATAAATGAGTGAATGAAATAAAGAGATACAGCATAATATTCCACAGGGTGATTACTGGACCAAAATACTGCTACCAAGAGAAATTTTAGCAAGAAAGTACAAAATTCCTTGTCCACAATCCCTAATGCAAACATACTAAAATTTTATCTGGGATCATAATAATTCCTTGTTACAAATACCCTTTGCACTGCAGACAAAATAGGATACCTGAACAATGGTATCTTTTAAGTACTACAAGATGTTGACTACAATTGTCCTAAAATGTTTCTCATGTTCAACTTTCAAGTAATGTCTGCTTGCAGGTATCAAAGTTCAGAAATAAGTTGTATTTGAACATTTAGGTTTGTAAACATTCTGTGTCACAACTGCATGCTTAAAATCCTAAATATTTTCGCTTTAAAAAATGATACAACATAAACTTTAATACGTAACTTCTTCACAGATAACCTTAGACGTTTGTTTACACTCAGACGATTTTTTACTGTAAAGTAAAATTACGCCCATGTGGCAAAACATTTAACGGAGAAATATTTCCAATAGTAAATAATAAAATGAAAACAAACTGTCCGAAAACTGTAACACTACACAGAAGTTGTCATTTTACATAAAAATGATTGGAAATAAGGCCTTGTTCAAAAAGATGCAGATGAATAATACTTTTACTCTAAGTTGTCATCATATAAGGACACGACAAAATAACAAACAACACTTGTCACTAACCTTGACTCTTTCCTCGCAGTATAGTCACGATATATCCTGTCAAGTGGATCCGGATCAAGCCATTCCTTTTCATGTATGTGATAATTGGAGCTTCCTCTTATGTACTGGACATTTAAAATAATAAACAAGAAGGCGAAAAACGGCAAAAATAGGATTCTCATGTCTGGAACACTAAATTAATGCTATAAAATTGGCAAAGAATATATATCTACTAAACTGGACCTGTTACGATTTACGCCCACACTTTTTAGGTTACGGCCGTTACAGGGATACCAGTCCCAGACTCCCAATGTAGACAGTAGTACACACTGATAAGGAACTTAATGAATGCCTGGTATATATGTAACTAGCACGTTTGTCTTGGTAACAAAACAATCCTTTTCACGCCTTCCGTTAATGTTCAACACCTGCTCTGCAAAAACAATAAACATTACTACGTCTGACTGTCTAACTGCCACGTGCTATTGGCTTCCGTGGTTTCTGCGCCGTCGTACTACGTGAATCAGCCGATAGGCTGGAGTGATTACGATCGTTTTCAGAAAATTTAAATTGACAGTTTTAACCTATCTAATAAACAAGGGATTATCCAAACTATTGCACAAATAAGGAAAATGTATTATTTATTTTCTATGTATTTTGACACTTTCAAAGTCAATAGTACGTCGTTCTGCTTCGTGCATGACGTAATCCGTGACGTACTCCCAACGCGCGTGTGCAAATAGTATATCACGCCTTTCACATGGCTTTTGCCGATTGTTGCTGCACGTGAACCCTGCAATGTCATTTGATCTTGTTGACTGTTGACCCTATGGACTTCGATCCATCTTAGGAACGTCTTCAACGATAAACTGAAAAACAGTCTGGCATGATAGGAAAGCCGCACTGACGCCACTTTACACAATACAGTATGCAAATGTGTGGGTGGGAAGCGAAGTATGATTATCTCATTCACGCCGGCAAAAACAGTTTACATTGTAACTAACTGTGGTATCTGAATCCACATAACAACAAACTGTCTACGAGTTATATCATTATTAGCCTAATATGTCAGGTGCTAATATCCACAAAGATTCCTTCTAGTTCCTTCTATGTGTCCAGCCCATTTAACCTCCATGAGTTCTGATCCTATCACTATGTGACGAATTTAATTCATGACGTTTCTCCTACGTAAATTTCCTCATTCAACACATATTTAAACAGTCTTCAGGTCCAAGATTTTCTTCAATCTTTTATTAAGAGAGGGTTTCAACATACATTCCACCCTCAGCAAAAAGGTCCTGGTTCAAATCGTATAAAACATATATTCAATCTTATCAAAATCAAGGACAACAGTATTAGTAACAACGACAATTCATCCAAGAAAAATGAAAAAAAAAAAATGGGTTACTGGATTGTTGGTCAATGTTCATATCTTGTGAGGACACTGGAAATTTTATTTCCAGCTATGTCAGAACTGTTCTGAAGTCCACCTGCTTCCCTACTCAATAGGCATTAAGAGTTCTGTTCCCTGAAAATAAAGGCAACCAGAGTCCAATGCCCAACTCTACCTTGTGCCAAGGTTAGAAAATACACCCAGATCTTTACATGTGACTCACATACATGGCACAGGGTTCAGAATGGGGACAGCTTCATCCATTGTTTAAGTAACAAGAACATTTATAATCTACTTTTAATTTGATATTATTGTTCCAATGGAAATCAAACTACATAAAGAACATATTTTGTGAATTGAAGTACAAATGTTGACTCTGAAAATACAAATATTATAGCAAGTTTTCATATCAACATTTCCATAGTCTGCTCACTCATGGAGCTGAGCCCTTCTTCAGAAACCGCCATTGTGCAGCTACTCAAGAACTTCCCAGGATTTTATGGAACCTGAAGGTTCAGTACCCTGTTCACAAGAGCCCTCCACTGGTCCTGATCTGCAGACAGATCAATCCAATCCATACCATCCCATCTTATCTCTATAAGATCCATTTTAATATTATCCACCTTTCTACATCTTGGCCTGCTTATTGGTGTCTATCCTTCTGGCTTTCCCACCAATATCCTATATGCATTTTTCTTCTACCCCATTTGTTCTACATGCCCTATTCACCTCATCCTCCTTGACTTTATTATTCTAATTGTACTTGGAGAAGAACACAACTTATTAAGTTCCCCATTATACAGTTTTCTCCAACCACCTGTCACTCTGTCTTCAGTCCAAATATTCGCGACACCCCGTTCTCAAACACCCTCAGTCTATGTTCCTCCCTTAGTGTCAGAGACAAAGTTTCACACCCCATACAGAACCACAGGCAAAATTATAGTTTTTATATTCCAGTTTTTATGTTTTCAGACAGCAGATGAGAAGACAAAAGCTTCTGGACTCAATGGTAGCAAGTGTTACCCGAATTCAGTCTTCTCTTAATTTCCTGTTGAATCAAGTTTTTATTTGTTATATCTGATCTGTGCTACATTATCAATATATCTGTTAGCTACCTTTATGTCATGATTTTGTCCCTCATTCTGGTGACCAGACAGTAATATATACCTAGTTTTCTCTGCTTTTACTTCTAAATCAACCACCTTACTAGCGTCAAAGTTTGTGTGGTTTTTTTTATGGTATCTATATTATCACCTAGTAGATTCACATCATCAGCATAGCCCAACAACTGATGTGTCCCATTTAATTTCATTCCCACCTGGTTTTCCTGGGCCTTCCTAATGGCATATTCTAAAGCAAAGTTGAAAAGCACAGACAATAAACATCTCTTTGTTTTAGATCATTCTGATTAGGAAAATTACCAGACAAACATTTACCTTATGGAATTTACTATATGTTTCCTTTGAACACAGGTGCCAGTGCTTTTAAGGAGCCTGCTGCCTCCGTCAGCAAAGCATTGCAGACAGCAGACTTCCCCAAAACAATAACATTTATCCGTCAAAACACAAGGCATCACATCCGAGACAAACATAATCTTATTAGTTGCAGTGACAAAACCAAATCTCACTAAGAAGAGCTATCACTTCTGTTTTTGCAAAATGAGGAGGTTAAAATAAACCAATTAGGAAAACAGTGTTCAATGCACAGTGAGAATTGAGTTTCTGGCATAGATAAATTGAGCAACTGTCTAGCACCAATACCTTAATAATATCACTGAAGACTTCAAGTGAACCTGTTTCTGTAAACATTCCGAGAGACCAAGCATGCTGGCACAAGCAGTTCTGGGAAGTGCTTGGTCTGAATTTTGGCCATTATACCAACTATATTTATTGAGTTCCTTTGTGGTTTTAGTCAGTCTTTCAAGGCAAATGAATGGATAGCACCTATGATTAGATCATGATTACTTTCCTCCACATATTTTTCAGTTCATTATTATTTTTATAATCCTACCTTTTTATGCTATATGATCTCACACACTGACAGCATCAATGAATAAACCCTAAATAAAGAAGCATAAATAAAATATTCATAGAGTATCTTTATATTCAGGACAAAATGCCCTGAAATTAGTTTTATTGTACTTATTATATTTCCTTTTGTAAATACTATCATGTTTATGTGCGTTAAATACTTTTGTAATCATGAAATATATAGAACAGTAGAAACGCTGATAATAAGTTAATAAATAAATGTTGTTTTAATGATAAGATAGTGTAATGTGGTCTTGGTTGGTGGTAGGGGTAGGAAGACAAATAGTATAAGATAAAGCAGGGCAGCTGTACTCCAATCTATCAATTTCACTTTGCTATTGGAAACATGCCTATAACTTAATTTATTATTTTGAAACAAGTCTAAGCTTTGGAATGAAGACGTCTGGACAGAGAGAAAAAAGAACATTTCACAATATACTGACATCATTTGCTATGACTGACGCACATTATTGGCCCTAGACAAGTTCAAAATCTAATAACGCTATGCACTTGCTATTTAGTTGGTGCTAAGAATATATGGTATATTTAAATGTAACTACATATGAATTTGTGGACATACCTGGTAGTGTCTTTATGTATAAAGCTGAGTGACTCATACATGAAATAGTAGTATAGTGCAGAATCTTACTGACTGCATAAATTTGAAGTTCAACACTGAAAGATCTGCTGTTTATTGATATAGACCGACTGATACCAAACTAAACTGAACAATGCAGCAGATGTTGAATACAACAAACAGTGTACTTCTTCAGACTGTGCTTCTCTTAATGAGCAAGAATCTACAAGATACAGGAACTACAAATGAAGTTTTTCGACCAGAAGTACATGAAAACAGTAAGTTAAAATATACTTTTTAACAGTTATTACATTAACACTTTTTTAAGAACACTGCGGAGAAGAGAAAAATTCCTTGCCTCTTCCTGAAATTGAACCCAAGTTTCTCAGTCGCCCAGCCTTCAGCTCTTTGCTGTACCAAATGAGCTATCCCAGCTCATTTTCCTTGCCATAATTCAGTGAAAAAGGTCATTAGGTTTATACAAATGAGAAGTCAAATATTAAAATAAAATGTGTTACATGCCATTACACATTTACTAGTACTCCTTTTTTAATATATCTCTATTTGTAAAGTAACTACACCTGAAACCACTGACTTTGTGGAGCAGAGTCCCTCAAGAGACAACAGTCACTCAACTGGTAAAGAAATTGTTGTCCTTTATGAAGTCTGAAGGTTTCTTACCATGTTTGCAACAGATTGCCGCTGGTCCCTATCCTGAGTAGCAGATGTTCAGTCCATATTCTGATATCTTACTTCTGTAACATCCATTTTAAAATTATCATCCCAGCTACACATCTCTCAGGTGATCACTTCAGTTGTATAAATTAATTATCCTTGTTAATAGACACAGAAGAACTATGCTATAGCCCTTTTGGATGTTACGAGATGACCCACCCATGGACAGATGAATTTCTGCGACCTGTGAGCCATGTTCCAGAACCACCTGAAAAAATAAATCCAAAGTACTGCCTTTATACAAGGCGTAATGGGGATAATTGTCAGGTAAGCATAAAGTTTCCATTTTCTGTTTCAAGTATTAAATTCAGTATTCAATACACTGATAAGGATGTTTACACATTTCATAGCATTAATTATTCATTTTACTTATCAACTGTTAAACACAAGGTTGAGATATCTAATTGGTGTTTTCAGAGGTCAGGTTAGTCATGAAATATGAGTTTGATATAAATTCAGTTTTTCTTATAACAAGACAGATATGACCTGGACTATAGGCAATTAATATCTTGTATTTCAATTGCATGTTATATTTGTTCTGTGATTATAATGATATTAAACATAATTCATACGAATGCTGGAAAGCAGTAGTGTAGTTGACTGAGGCACTATGCTACAAGCCAGAAGGTAAGAGCTTCAATTCCCGATGAGGTTATTGGATTCTTCAATTCACCTAATCCTTCCAGCTGCATTGTGGTCCTGGGGTCAACTCAGCCTCTAACACATATGAGTAGCAGGAATCTTCCTGGAGGTAAAGGGCGAATGGCATGTATGGCTGACAAACACACCACCATCATTGAGCCGATTGTCTAGAAAATGTGGGAGCCTCAATGTCTCACAACCCTATGGGCCTCCATGGCCAATTGCCTTTTTACTTAAAAACTAGTCACATTACTCTAAAGTAGGAAGTGGACTGTCCATATAAATGTAATGACTTTGTTAATGTTCTCAATTGAATGGTTATACGGTCATAAATACACTATGCAAGACTAATTGCCAGTCTCTTTTTTTACATTACATTTTTAACAGAATCTGGATATCATGGATAATGATACTTTGTTCCGGTCTTACCTGATGCCTGGTCACAGGATCTATTTCATTAGTCATGGCTTTTTAGAGAATGGCCATAAGGAATGGATAAAGGTTAGTCTGCTGTATTTTACATCACTTTACACAGAGAAGTCAATGATGCCTTTGTAATTGTGCATTTTTTCTAATCTTCATATAGTAAGCAACAAATCTCTCTCTTATATCAAGCACTGCTCAAGAAAAATGACAGTACTTTAAATTTGCCTTGAGGAATTATGTATCAAGCAAAAGCAATTGTGAAAAAGAAATGTGTGTCCAGGGAAAATATGAAAGTTACTTGAGAACACTCAATTCCAGCTCATGGAGGTGGGCTGAATTCAGAATGTCCTGGATGAAAAAGTATGAAAGAGAACAAAAATATTTCTGTTGTAAACAGAGACCTCTACATCTTATTACTTACACTTTTAATCCCAGAAAAATTCAACCTGAAGTTATATGTACCGGTGACAAAAAAGACTGTTCTTTGTAAACTTCTTTTAAAAAGGGGAAATTACAAGTGGCAGTGTATTCTTTTCTAGTAAGTTTCAGTAGCAGTGAGTAATATTTGTGTTCAGATTCACAATGCATCCTGTCACTTTGTTGCAGAAAATGACAAGGGAACTGTTGAACCTGTTGGACTGTAGTGTAATAGTTGTTGACTGGAGTAGTGGCTCAGGCCCTCCTTACCCTCAAGCAGTTGCAAACATCAGACTTGTTGGTGCCATGACAGCCCACTTGATAAATAACTTGATTGTAAGTATGCTGAAGCTTTTTCATGTTTTATTAGTGCATTTCTGCACTGATATACAAATTTATAAAAATCCCATAGTAAACTGCAACATCTAATCACGAATCGTTGCGCTTGGACATTCCACACATGCTTATTAGAATGTAAGTGAACATTCTCTCCTTCTCTCTGTCAAATATGCTCTTAGATCCTTCAAGATCCATGAAAGATCTGGTTCAGAACTGCAAGCCACCTGTAATTTGATTTTTTTTTTATTTGTATAACATTTAGAATGCTGAAATTTAGTTTTTATACAGAGTGGCCCAAAAGTCACTTAATAAAATGAAGGCAATCCTGAATTTTGGAAATCCATTCTATGAACAGATGAGTTGACATTCAAACCTAATGGACAGGTCAGTCCATAATTGTGCATTAAGTGGATAATATGCACACAGTTATGATGAAGCTAATAGTCATTTAAAGATTCGACAAACATGACTAAAAATTATGTTTTTTAACAAATATAATTTCAACAAAATTTGGAAAAGTAAGTCATTTATAACTGTACATTGATATCGAGAAGACTACATCCTCATCTGAGCAAGACCTCAATAGTGCGGAAGAAGAATGTTTAGATATTTTGTTCATATTGCGGCTTTCTGAATGAGAATTTGGTATGGTGATATGGATTGACTTGAGAAATTCTCATATAAATAGATAATTGTTATACATATGGCTGCTATACATGTGTCATTGGGTCATTTTTAGATTTAAATATTAGTAGTATATTCTCAGATAGGAGGAAGGAAGATTCCATTCCTATTAATGTTTTATCCCCAAAACTCTGATCCCACTGGTTTAGGCATATTCATGTCCACTGACTTAACAGAATGTTGAAGAAAGCNCTACTTTCTTCATAGTCACCGCCGTGAAAGCCTCAAATCTTAACAGAATGTTGACTGATATCAAAGAAATTATGTCTTTCCTGTAATACTCTTTAACCTTGAATCCTTGAATGCTTTGAATGGATCTTGACCTATGATGGACCCTGTAATCTCTCACTCCTATTACATGAATATATTATTCTTTCACACCCTGTTCTCCTTCTCAGTACTGTCAAATTTTTACTAAAATATTCATCAGTTATTATTTTGTTCAGCAGACTAAATTGTGTACATGATGTTTAAGGAATATTTCAAACTGTACTCAATCAGGTAAAAGGGGTGCTCATTAACTTATGCTTTTTGAATAAAATAATATCAAGATTAGAGAAACAAGAAATGTACAGCCTATTCATGGTGGACTATGGACTTTACTCTTTGTACCTGCAAACTACAGCAAGGTAATTAAAGGATTTTATAGAAATTTGTATGACATGAAACATATGTAATTGTATTTGCGGACAGTATCAAAGCTGAAGTATACCTGAATCCACTGTATATTGAGGGTCTACTGTCTGTCATACTGTGGTCACTAACCATCTTTTTCGCCCATCAATCAGTTCCGCTTAGTTAAATTTACTACCAAATACTTTAGTGTGTTTAGAGGGACCACACATTAGTAAGCCGCTTTGCTTGGTTAGTATCAGAAATATGTTGGAATGGCTAGTATATGTTCTCCTATATTAAAGTTTCTTATTCTTCTCCTCTCTTTGTTCCTGCAATCGATACTGATGTTGTCACATTCCGAATTTCAGTGTATGCATTACATTTGTGAGGGTAGGAGGACAAAATTTCTTCTCCCTCAACACAGAGCCCATCAGTTGATATAATTCTGAGCCAGTTTAACCTAGGTCAGATCATCATAATCAACGTCTTAACAACTTGTGCTATACGCGTGAGGCCTGATTACATATTTTATTGGACCAAGGATGTATGTATGATGTATAGTCATCATGAATTTGTAACGTGTGACATGTTTTATATCCAGCCCTACAGGGAGATGAATGGATCCATGAAGTGAAAATAAACGTAAATGTAAATGTCTCTAAGTTCCATTTTAACATTTTACTCCCACATCATTCTCAGTCTTCTGAACATATTCTTTCAAATAGGTTTCAATACGAAAATTCTATGTGTGTATCTTGTTATATGCCCAACCAATTACTCCACGATGACCAATCTTAAACAAACTACATAAATCTAAAAGTTACTTGATGTATAATATTGCTTTCCTTGTTTACTTTACCTGTCTTTGTCACAACAGAGTTGTTAACTATTTTTTGATAATTACTAAGAACATTCTATTACTTTTCCTGTCATGGTGTTAGTAAAAGTAAAGCTATCTCTGTACCAGGCCGTGAAGGCTCATAGGGTTGTGAAACGTTGAGGGTCCCACACTATCTAGAAAATCGGCTCAAAGATGGCGGTAAGGTTATCAGCCTTATGCGCTGGCTGTGCTTTACTCCCCAGGAAAATGATTTAATTAATTCCTGGTACTCATTTCTGTTAGAGGCTGAGTAAACCCCAGGGCCTAGTGCAGCTGGAAGGATTAGGTCAAGTGAAAAAATCCAATGACCTCATCGGAAATTGAAGCCGCGACCTTCCGGCTTGTAGCATAGCCCCATGGTGTTAGTATCAATGGAATAAAGGAAAGTTATACACTCTGACAGGTAGTCCCAGATATAATGGTAAAAGACATTGATTTTTGGAAAAGATATCTATTTACACAAGAGGTATGGTGTTCCTATTCTTTGTGGTATCTTACCTGGAAACAAATATTCTTTCTTTTCATAATATGTAGTTTTTCCAGTCCACACTTTATGTTGGACATTTAAAACAACTGTCACATGAAAATTCACCTGCAAACCACCTCATTCTTCATTTTTCAAAATTGTTTCCTCAGGTGCAAGTCGGAATACAACCAGAGCTTATTCATTTTATTGGACATAGCCTTGGTGCACACATGGCTGCCTATACAGGACAAACTGTACACAGAAACTTCAAATACAGATTGGGACGCATTACTGGTAAGCAACCACATGCCCATTAATGTTATTTCCTATTGAATGTAGAATAAACTAGTCACTATCATCATCAACTAATATTTTTACCGGATTTGACAGGCTAATGACAAAATCTCAATTTTTTCTGTCCTCTCATGAGCACTTCATACTTGTATCCATTCTTTTCTTACCCTGCCTTGTATTCTTTCTCTTATTTGGCCCCTCTAGCTAAGCCTTGGTTTCCACAGTAACTCTGTATTTTATATCTACATGTTATGCCCTCAAAGAATCCCTATTATTGTCCATGTATAACAAACACTTATACCACACTATCCTTAATTTCACTACCTCCTCTTGTAGTGTTTCTACCCTCAAAGAATACAGCATATAAATCTAACAAAAAAAGTATTAGCCATGTGTAACATGAAGCAAGGCCTCCTCATATCCCAGGATTCTTTTATGTAAGAACTGGTAAATGGTTTTGACTTTTTCAGACTGTAAATGATGAAATGCTAGATGAGAGTGTTTTGTACTTAGTTGCTGTCTCATATAATCAGACTTCAACTTCTTTTTATATGCAAAAAGTAAATGCCAATGAAATCATATAATTTTTTGTTATGCATGTGTTCCATTTTTCCTTCAACAATTTAATTCCACCGTTTGTTATCAGGATTTTGAAAATGAATTGAAGATAAATTATAAGCATTTCTATAATTTTCTATTATTTATATACATAAGCTACATAAATGAGATCTGAAGGTAAATTTTAGATTAGTTGACTCTACATTTAAATTCAATTAGTATTAACAACTTCCCGGATGCACTGGGATTACTTTCTTGATCAGATCTATGAAAGGAATGAACTTTTCACTTAAACCTCATTCTTTACAGTGATTAAATTACTTCATTATTTGATCAGAAATTATAATATTTGTTGATATTATTGCTAGGATTTTTGTTTCTACTTCTGTTCTTGATGTACATGTATCTTCCTTACATCACATTCACCAAGCAGCAAATCTGTAGTCTAAGCTACAAACAGCATCATTAAATAAACCACAAATAAATAAGAAAACACACTTACAGCATGTCCAGAAATAAGTTAAATTTCACTGATGTAGTATGTGATATACCATTTATATGATTTACTCTTTGATGTTAATGTGTGCACAGGGAATTAAACAAATGAAGTTAATCATTTAAGACTCCAAGAAGCTGAAATTTTCTTTTTCTTTTTGTCTATGATCCTTATTTTATGAAAACAAGTATTTTCATGGTATTTATGATATCATCATATCCATGTGATAATGAAAACATGAGGGGAAGGATCATTTGGAACACCTCAGCAGAGATGAGGGGAAAATTCTGAAATGTGTCTTAAATAAGTAGGGTGGGAAAGGGGAGAACTGGATTTACCTGGCTCAGGACATGGGGTGGAAGTGGGCTCCTGTGAATATGGTAACAAACATTCAATTCCATATATGGTAGGGAATTGAGTAGCTAATTTAGTACTATGTTTTCTAGAAGGACTCTGTTGTTGTAATATGTCAGGCTATAGACTTGTTGCTTTAACTAGCAGTCTAAATTTTTGTAACAAAACTGGATTGGAGAAGCATTAGGCTCTTCCACCTGAGTAGCCCAATAATTTGCAAGGAGCTCAAAAATGACTGCAGTGTATTTGATCAGAGATTATAAAAGTCACAATAACTCCTTTGTCTGGGTAGTGTACTTTGCCTTAGTTCAATGCATCACAGCCTTCACTACCAAAAACATTCTAGTTTTTACATTACTATCTCCTGCTTTGTTGTTGGGGTCATTTAAGACATTTTATTGTGTATTAATATCCTGCTCAAAGTCCAGTTAAAATATGTAAATATACATATTTTTACATTTATCTTTGCTCCAGCATGTTGTATTAAACGTTCAGAAAAATGTAATCTGGATTTAATTAGATGTGTTTATCAGATTACATTGTTTACAGGATTTGAATTTTATTATTTATAGTTGACTTTGAATCTCTGTTTTGTTTCTTTCACCATCTATAGTTTGATTTATTCTGAAAGCAGTCACAAATTTCAGCAGTTCAAAACAAAGTTAATATCAATGTCCTTGAGATAAATTAGGATCATATCACTTTCACCACCTTGACATGCTTTGGTGGTTGTGAGAAGTCTGTTTTTTCAGGTTGCTAGTTACTTTTAGAGCTCTAAAACGCAACTAGATACAATTTTAAATAATTTACTACTTGGGTCATAAATGTACTGAACGTTTATGAATGTTTTATAATTACTTCGAGGAATTTATGTTGAATTGATATTATACAAATATTTTGAATAGTCCAAATATTATGGCAGTTAGCTACTATAATAGATGAGAGATTATAATAAAAAACAGATGTAATAAAAATACATATAATGTGTCATATGGAAATAATGCTGTACTACATGGAAAGATAATAAGCTATTGCTATTTTCCAAACTATCCCCTTTATTTAATAGCACAGTGAAACACAGATTTCAGGTTTCTTTTGGGACAAGTCAATTTGAACAAAACAGTGTGGAAAATCTTAAATGGCGGAAATTTAATGCTGATATTATTGACCTTGGTTCATTGAAATAGGATGTTAAATGAGGGAAAGCCTTAAGCTGAGAAACATTAAATGGGTGTTTCAATGTTTAATATTTTCAAGAGGTGACGTGATTTATGCACTATTTATCAAGATATAGTATAGAACTTTGTGTTGAATTTTCACTGAACCATTGAGATGACCCATCAGTTAACTGGCAACCATATGACGTCAAATAATGATTACATTTTTATGCATAAATTATATTTGTACACACTTCTATTTTATCAGGAACAAAGTTTAAAGTCCATGGAAAAGTACATGCTCAAAGGTTGGTTCTCTCAGATAATCCCTTCCTTGGAATGTTATTATACTGGACTTCCTGTCTTTGGAAGACATGTATATAGAATATTACAATACTTCATAAATACAGTGGTACATATATGAAGATTTTCATCTTCTGGGATGCAATGCTGTGAAGTCTGGTAGATCATTACTGATTCTTTGAAGGAGTGTATTGCCTTCATTTTTGGGGGAAAAGAAATTGTAAACGATGTAACAGATTGTATGCCATCACATCCCAGTAAATGTTAGAATTCATAATCGCGTCCTGAGAACCTCAAAGCTTGCATATTATGGTATGTACACATTCAGATCTGTTTTACAAAAATATGATAGATATAGCTGGTGTTATTGGAATGGTTCAAGACTTTTTCTGATATTTATAATAAAAGCATCATTTTCAATATTTTGAGAAATGTCAGATAAAATGTATTAAGGTGTATCCAAACACCTTGTTCACCCTTATAGTTAACACCTATGAGGTTACATTTGACATATTTAATATAGCTGGAATCTGCAAGGTGAAACTTATGTGCAGAAATTAATCATAAAGTAGTATCATTATACATTTAAAATTCTGATCATCTTCATCAAATTTGAGCATTTGAAGGGAAGGATACATCTTATTTTCTTCCCATAACCTGTAATATTATACACACAAATATTTTACGAACTCATGCCTTTAGTTCAGACCATTCGATTATTGGACACTTCAATTCATAGCCGTTTTTTTTATTTGTACTTCTGCATGCTCATGAGTAAACAATTTTCAGAGCATTGTAATGTGGTCCAATTACCATATATGCTTGAATATACGGTAACTCCTTGTTTCTCCAAACAGGAAATCAGATAATCTTTTATACAAAATTGAATATTTCATGTACTTCTGAGGATTACTCATCATAATCAACTTCATCTTCATTCTCAAGGACCCAAAAATATGGTGAGCCCTCTTTCCTAAGGAGCAATACTTGAAATAATGACCTCACCTTATGTTTGGGCTAATATGGCAGTACAGTGTTTACCATATTTAAGGGACTCTAAATTATGATCTCAAGATAGAAGTCTCATGGCTTTCACCTGTCCTTCCAAGTAGATTGCAAGGTAGAATACATCTCTCTCATACTCATTTGTAGTCATCTCACCTTTCTGGGTGATAATTCATTATGTATCTAATTTCCATTAAGTGTTCTAATTTTATTACATTAAGTGATTTTTCCAGGAGCCAGATTAGTGACTTGACTATGGGCTGAACAACCAGAGTTTGATTCCTGGTAGGGGTAGGAATTTTTCTGGTGCCATATCAGCCTCCTATCCAACAAACATAGGTGACTCTTTCCCTGAAAATAAAGATGCCTGGCATTAAATTAAAATTTGACTTTGACTATCTATCTCCATGTAGTGTTGATGTTAAGGATATGTGGAACTTAACTCCACTCCCTCATACATTTCCAAGGCATAAGGGTTAATAGAACAGAAGAAAAGTTTTATCATAACCGATTTTATTCTAAACTTTTGTTTTATCATTGAATTTAAATATTTTCAAATTTTCCTTGCCTTCACTGCACTTACAGTGTGAAAAATTATTTGTTCATAGCATAAAGATATCCATTTTTGCTTTATTATTCCTCCTTTGTCCAATAATCTCATAATTTATTTCACATTTTCATAAATCAGAATTGGCAAAGCTATAGTTTTGTTAACTTCATTTATTTTTATCTTCTTTTTGTATAAAACTCTATGCATCATTATTATCCATGTATCCTTGAACTTAGTGCTAGTTGGAGGTGAGTGGTCAGCTTCATGCCTCAGCTGCGTTATCCCTGGGAAAAGCACTCCTGGTAACCATTTGATAAGGAGAAATGTGGGACCCAGAAATGAACTAGAATATATGGGGAGGAGAAAATCTTGCCCATATCAGGACTTGACTCCCTACCACTCTCAGTCTAGGATGTAACCAATCGTTAAATCTGTGCTATCCCAGCTCCTTGAAGCACATGAAACTTCATCACTTTAAATAGCCCTGTGTTTAATTTGACATAATTATTTTGGAATAAAAATGCATATTTAATTTATCATTATTGCTACAGGTCTGGACCCAGCAGAACCTCACTTCAGTAAGACAGATCCAGTTGTTCGCCTGGACCCTACAGATGCAGATTTTGTGGATGTAATTCATACAGATGCTGGCCCGTTCATCAGTGGTGGGCTGGGTATCTTGCAGCCCGTTGGACATGTGGATTTCTATCCTAATGGCGGGATTGAACAGCCTGGGTGTCGTGGAGGAGTTATGTCATATATGGCAAAAGAGAGTGGCAGCTTCTACAGAGGTAAAAAGTTTGAAAATATACATGTACATGCAATGTAACAATTCTGGCAAATTGCTTCTGTTTGTTTAATTATCTCCAAAGCAACAATATTTAACTTTTAATAAACTAACAGTTGTAGCAGCATATTCAACAGTATTTTAACTAATTAATTAATTAATTAATTACATATACACATCCATACAAATACATGCAAGCGTGCACACACACAAATGTACATACATACACATACATGTAGGTCTATAGATGAAGGTTGAAGATTTGTTTAATTACTACAAAAAATAAGAGGCTTTGCTAATCTTCATGTGTGTTTGGGTGATTGCTGATGATTGCTGAATATACACATTTTGAAAAATGTGCATAACATAACATGTAGTTCTGGGGTCTTACTCCTTTTTGATTAATGATTTAAAAATTGCAAGATTTATGGTAAAAGTGTTCAGCTCTACCTCATGTCGATGTATGTGTGTGTGTGTGTGTGTGTGTATAAAACCAGCCAGATTAATAACTGTATTTATTTACATGCTATAAATTTTCAAGGGTGATGAAATATTCTTTAGTTCTTTAAACAACTGCATAGAATTACTGAGGGATATTATAAAATAGGATTACCATATAATCCCAAATACAAAGCTATCCTATACTTTTCCAGTGAGAATTTTTTTATTGAATATATCATTTAGTTCTGAAAATTGTGAGCAAAGAGAAGTAAAGACTATGCTATTAAGACAAAATAAATTCAAAATTTAATACCTTAAAAGTAATTCTAGGTATTTTCACAGATATCAATAGAATTATCACTCAGAATTCCTCATAATTATTTTATTCATATTTATTCTTAAGGAGCCAGAAATAAGGCAACCCCTCTTTTCTAACAAACAATATTTGGAAAAGGACTCGCCTTATATTCAGGTTAATGGAGTATATTCCAGTTTTCAAGTATATTGCCTAAATATCAAAATGTTTTGTGTTGAAGTGGCTTGTTTTGTTGAAACAACAATCTTTCAGTTACAATAAAACACTAATATAGTGCATATTTTTAGTCTATTACATCTTTGTTACATTCAACACGCATCCTATTTATTACTTATCTGTCTTACAGGTATTCGACATATGTTAGGTTGCAACCACATACGAAGCTACCAGTATTTCACTGAGTCTATCAACCCAGGATCTTGCTATTTTATGGGTACAGAATGTGACTCTTGGGAGGAATTTCAAAATGGTTCTTGCTTTGATTGTGTTACTGGCAACAAATGTCCTTTCCAAACAAGGATTGGCCTACATGCAGATACATATCTCAGGAAAGGAGTAGCATATGGCTCACCACTTAATCTTCCACCACCACGGACTCATGTCAAGTTGTTCATGATGACAGGAGCAGATGGACCATTCTGTCGTAAGTAGTAATAAGTTGCAATCTTAAGTCCTCACAGGTACACGTATAAAAACAAAGCATAATCAAACTGAAATAATCAATGTATATAGCATTGTCACTGCAAGCATCATTAAATAACAATGTAAGTAAAGTAAAAGTAAAGCTATCCCTGTAACAGGCCGTGAAGGCCCATAGGGCTGTGAGATGTTGAGGGTCCCACATTATCTAGACAATCAGCTCACAAATGGCGGCAAGGTTGTCAGCCCTACGCGCCAGCTGTGCTTTGCTCCCCCAGGAAAAGTATTTAATTAATTCCTGGTACTCATTTCTGTTAGAGGCTGAGTCGACCCCAGGGCCATAGTACGGCCTGAAGGCTTAGGTCAATTAAAAAAATCCAATCACCTCATCGGGACTTGAACCCATGACCTTCCAGCTTGTAGCATAGTGCCTCAACCAACTATGCTACTGCATGCCCCCCATTAAATAACAATGTAAATAATAAAATAGGACAAAATAAAATAAAATATACTTAATTAGTTATTTACTCTTAGTTTATTTACTGAGACTTTCATTTGCTAAGATTATACACCTTTGGATAACAGGATGTTTAGCAAATATTGAATTGAAAAGAATATGGAAGAAAGCAGTCATAGACTAAATTAAGGCATGTCTTGGAATTCCCCTGCAGGACTGAGAAAACCGCAAAATATTTCAGTCAGAATAGACAGTCTCGTGACCAGATTTTAAATCTGAGTATCCAAAATATGAAGCAGGTATGGTAACTACTTGAAAAAAAAATTTAATTTTATAATACAAGGGCATCAGAAACAGCAGTGGACAGTTATGGAGAACTACATGACCAATAAATTATTTACAGTTGGTAAGTGAATGGTAATACTCCATAAGGAGATGAAATGAACAAAGAAGGTGACAGGAAACATATTGTTGTTCTTCTGATAACCAAAGCATTTGTCTAAAAAGAATGTGGGAAGCTTCCAAGTCAACCAGTTAGAACAGTAGAAATTGGCCAAGATTTGTTCCAGGATCTCCCCAGTTCCAAGTCCTGTACCCTACCAGCTGATCTACCTTGCTTGGTTTTAGTAATAATGAGTGCAGTGTCTTTGTATAGTTCCATAGCACACCATTAAAAATAGTAATTTTCATACCTCTGCTTTACTGAATGTCTTGATTGAGTTCTTTGCACTCCTGCTATATATTTAGGAGGTCACAGGTTTAAATCTAAACACAAACACCCGCTATCCTGACTGAGATATCTGTGGTTTCCCTGAGCCCTTCCAGGCACTTTTACACTTTCCCCTGTTCATTAACCACTAATCATACTAGTATTCAATGCTATATAGTCTCACCTATTAACAGTGCCAGTAAATAAATAAAAATATATACCTATATAAGTATATATCTCTATTTTATGATACACATTCTTTTATATCTTATTGTCTACCTGAAGAGAACAGTCAATTTTGAACACATAGCTGAAGTTGAGAGAACATTATTAAAATGAATCTCCAAGAAATATGGTAGGAGGGGTAAGATTGGATTAGTTTGACCCACAACAGAGACAACTGGAGGGCACTTGTGAAAAGAGAAATAAAACTCCATGTTTCACTAAAGGCAGTATATTCCTTGACCAGCTGAGTGAAAGGCTGGCTCCATGGAGTTAGTTAGTTTTATAATTCAAAACAGTTCATGAACATGTGTTTTGTACAGTCAATATAAAACTACAGTATATGGATGTTTTTGTTAAAATATTAACAATATTACATTTTGACAATGTATAACTTCGTTGGATATGACTTCTCGCAGGGGTGACTATGAACAGTACCATCTCCTGTGTGGTGTAATATGTTTCATGTAGTCAGAACTTTGTTACCTACATCTATCAGAGGAATAAGATATAAAGTGGGGAGGGGGGATGTAAGGGAATCATGTTTCTATTTGTACTCCAACACTGCTCTGTTAAAATATTGTGGTTCATAGTGTAAAAGTAAACAATTTGCTTCTCTGGTTAGCCATAATCAAAGTGAATTGGAAGATCTTATAAGACGTACTGATGTTTTTTGAAAAGCATGTAGGTACTTTAATTTTTACACTAGTAAAGGAAATCAGATTGGGAAGTTACCATCCCTCACTATCTAAGCTATGAACGGGCATGCCAAAACAGAGAATTGCTGTAGTTCTAGCTACATCAAATAAGTGATATTTCCTTTAACAGCACTTTTCATAGATAGTACATAGACTTCAAATAAATGAGATACATCTGAAACATTGTCATGGTATTAACTGACTGTTATCAACATTATTCCCAGTATTCTGAAACATCTGCCATATTATACACACACTCTACTTTTAGAACTGAGGAATCAATATGCAAAGTAAATAGTACAAAATACAATGATTCTCAAATTAACTAAAATCCATACCTGTCTCTGCAGGTCATCATTACCGAGTTACTTGGAAGATATCTGATTCATGTAAAAGTTTACTTCATGGAGGAGAAGTTGGAATGATCTGGGTTACTTTACGAGGAGAAAAGGGAGTTACCAAGGGCATTGAATTAACAAAAACGTAAGTATCCTTCTTTTAAATTTGACAGAGCACATAAATTACTCACTTATTATTCATGGAACTGAGCCCTTCTTGGGGAGCCGCCAATTGTGCAGCTACTCAAGAATTTCTCAGCATTTTTTGGAACCCGAAGGTTCATTACCGTATTCACAAGAGCTCTCCACTGGTCCCCATCCTGAGCCAGATCAATCCAATCCATATAATCGCATCCTATCTCTCTAACATCCATTTTAGTATTGTATGCCCACCTACACCTTGGTCTTCTCAGTGGTCTCTTTCCTCCTTGCTTTCCCACCAATATCCTATATGCATTCCTCGTCTGCCAATTCGTGCTACATGCCCTGCCCACCTCATCCTCCTTGACTTGATCATTCTATGAGTAATTATAATTGGAGAAGAGTACAAGTTATGAAGCTCCTCAATATGAAGTTTTTTCAACCTCCTGTCACTTCATCTCTCTTTCGTCCAAATATTCTCCTCAACACCCTGTTCTCAAACACCCTCAGTCTATGTTCCTCCCTTAATGTCATATACCAAGTTTCACGCCCATATAGAACCACAGGCAAAATTATTGTTTTGTATATTCTAATTTTTATGTCCCATTTAATTTCAGTCCTACCTAGTTTTCCTGGACCTTCCTAATGTCATAATCTAAAGCAAAGTTGAAAAGGGGTGGTGATAAATCATCTTGTTTTAGACCACTCCAGATAGGAAATTTATCAGACAAATGTTTACCTATACGGACTTTACTATATGTTTCGTTTAAACACATTTTAATCAGTCTAACCATTTCTGTGGGTATCCCAAACTCTATCAGAATATTATGCTATACTTCCCTCCTAACTTGAATCATAGACTTTCTTGAAGTCTATGAATAGCTGTGGTACTGTCTCATTGTACTTCCGTTTTTTCTCCAATATCTGACGAATGCAAAAGATCTGATTTGCAGTTGATCTGTTATGTCGAAACCCACACTGATGATTCCCAATAATTTCATCTATATGTGGACTTAACCTTGAGGGAAGAATATTGGATAACCTTTTGTATGAAGTTGATAGCAATGATATCCCCCTTCTTGTGAACTGGTACAATAATAGACGCCTTCCACTGATCAGATAATTTTTCCTTATGCCAAATAGAAATAATTAGCTTATGGATCTTAGAATAGGTCATATAAGTAATGAAGGATAAAAAGAAAACAGACAGGTGAGATGGAGCTCTGCAGATATATAAAATAATCAGAGACCCAGTACTGATATTTGCAAAGATAAGAGGTCAGATGTGTTGCAACTAGGTTGCAACTTATTTGGATAACTGAGGAATCAAAATTTATACCTGGCAGAGACAAGAGACTGGTCCCTTCTCCAGAACATCCAGCCCAGCTTTGGGGCCCACACAGTCCCTTATCAAATGGTACTGGGAGCTCCTTCCCAGTGATATGAAAGGCTGGAAGGACTCTGATGTTTTTAATTTAGAAGTGGAATTCTTGATTTGTGTAATCTGAGTCCAGGAATGGACCCTGATTTTCATGATCGAATGCCGGTGCTTGATTGGGTTCATCCACACCTGAGCATGGCTTTTCAAAAGTCGTTTTAGCGGAATTAACAAGTTCTTCTTTATATTCTTGTTCCTGTTCTGTCTTGTTAAATTTATATTTTAGTCTTTTCATCCTATCCCAAATGTACGATGGATTCGTGAATTGATTTATTCCCTCACAGAAAGTTTTCCAGTGCTCTTCTTTGATTTCTCTCAGTTGTTTTTTTCTTTTATAATCGCTGCCCTTTTGTATTCCAAACATGTCTCTTCAGTTTTACAGTATTTCCATTTAAGCAATTTAGCTTTTCTAATCCTAATTACCTTATCGCATTCTCTGTTCCACCATATACAATCTGGTTGTTTTTCTCTATTTCATATTTTTCCTTGTCCTCCATTTCTGAGGTTGTTTTTGTTTTTTCTTTTAGGAGTGGTCTCTGCTAATTTTCCTTTTATTAACTGGATTATTTATCATACATTTCCTTTACATCCCTCTCTTTGTTCCATCCATCATGCATTTTGACTTCTGTGATTCAGATAACGCACAGATTCCTACATTTTCAAAACCAAAAAACAAACGAGTTTTGAGTTAATCATAGTTTACAAGGGATAGTTACTGACAGCATCAGAGAAATATAATTTTATTTCCATAAATAAAACACTGATAAGCATATTTGTTTGAAGTCTTCATATCAATCAATAGACTTGATTATGGAAGAATATTACAATGTGACATTATGTTCTTTGCTGATAAAAAATTATTTAAGCGCCCTAACAGGAGCAGACATTTAAAGGCACAGCACCAACAGGCATTTAAACGTGCACCAGCAGCAGGCATTTAAATAAACTCCGGCCAGCTCAAGCTACAACCATTTCAAAAGTCCGGTGTTTGAAGGCTATAGAGCTCCATGTGAGACAGAAGTAAACATTGGCTCTACATGCAAATTGACTTATGCATGTGGAAAAAGGTCCATATAGGATAAGTCAGGAGGGTGGTAAAGCTCAAGAACAAGTGGCTTGGTCGTAAAAATAAAAGTGAGGTGTTATCTAGAATGCAATTCCAAGTTGACAACAATGTATTGATTGCTATACTTCGTGTGTGTGCCTCAGGGCTCTGTATTAGGCCCAGTGCTCTTTTTACTATATGTAAATGACTTACCAAAAATTATATCTGACCTATCCAAACCAATATTATTTGCAGATGATACAAGTACCCTTATCTTTCATAAGAATCCTGAAACATTTAAAATTAGAATAAATAAATTATTTGAGATGATAAATGAATGGTTTAGGAAAAATGAGCTAGTAATAAATTATGAAAAAACTTATTTTCTACAGTTTAAAACTAAAAACAGTAAAAACTTAAATGTTGAAGTTAGTTATTTAAACAATCAAATTCCAAGTATTTCTAATATATCGTTTCTGGGATTAAAAATTGAAAATTTTTTAACGTGGGAAAGTCATATTGATGCAGTAATTGATAAGTTAAACAGATCCTGTTTTGCAATCCGATCAGTTAAATCCTTTTTACCACTGGAGACATTAAAAATGATGTATTTTTCCTATGTACATTCTATAATAACGTATGGATTAATATTCTGGGGTAACTCCCCGCATAGTATAAAAGTGTTTAGGATGCAGAAAAGGATAATTAGGATTATAACAAATACAACAAAGAGAACATCGTGTCGTAGTTTGTTTCAAGAATTGGATATCCTCCCCCTACAAGCTCAATATATATTGTCGATCTCTCTGTTTGTCATAGTAAATAAGGAATTGTTCACATTCAACTCACAAATGCATAATTGTAGTACCAGATCTATCTGTGATCTGCATTATCCGCAAACTAGTCTGACACAATTCCAAAAAGGAATATGTTACATGGGGGTAAAGATCTTTAATCATTTGCCACCAAAAATCAAATCTATGTCTAATTACTTGAAAAATTTTAAAATTCAGTTGACAACATTTTTATTGCAAAACTCTTTTTATACATGTGATGAATTCTTTAGTAACAAATTTGCCTAGAAATAAGGATAATAGCATAAACAGTTTTAATATTGCATAATTTTACGTATAGTGATGTAAGACTGTTTTTTTTGATATAAATTTAACACATGTTTTTTTTAATCTATTTTAATGATTATAAACTGTACATATATATTTATATTTGTATTGTACTATATTAATTATGTGACTGGTTCTATATCTATGTATATGGATTTATGGAATATACAATAAATGAATGAATGAATGAATGAATTAAAATTTACCTATTGTTTTAGTGTACAGTATTATGAACCAGGGAGTAAGCATCAAGTCATAGTGCCTGGAGATCCTGTTGGGAAACTGCAACATGTCATACTGCAGTGGGAATACCGCACAAACCCTCTGAATCCACTGACATGGAGAATCTTCATCACACCTCGCATCTATATTGGCTGGATGCAGGTAGAGAGTATAGAGGAGAGATACGGGTATGTACTCTTTTATGACATTTTGAATTGTAAGGCCTTTCTGAAGCTCAACAAACAATATAACTTGCAGGATTGTTATCTAAATTGGATTATATTACTACCCTTGTACATGATGACTTAACTACTCAATTTCACAAATTTTTATGAATACTGACTAGATAAAAAAAGTGTTAGAAAGATACTGTAGTCTTAAGTAAAACTAACAGTTTATGTTAACAGCTTCACTTATGCAGACTTGTACACAAGACAGAAGTGATAACAAAGGGAATGATCTGCTTACATTGTCAATGGTATAAAGCTTGTTACAAAATTTTTTTGGTTTAGAGTTTTTAACATTATTTGGCATTGTATATCAAAAATATCCCTCTGTATACTGGTGAAAATAAACAATTGTTCTGCTTTAACCTACTTTTCTTATTTTGAAAAATTAAAAGGAGGCTTCCACATACCAGTGGAAAGAATACACATGCAACAATAGAAGGGCTGTTGGACGCGGTGTTTTCTGTGCAGTCCATGTTATATCAGATACTCAGTATGTAGTGAAAGGAAAGTTGGCCATTAGTTTTTCCCAAAAACGTCTTGTTTCAGATGTCAGTTTGTTAAAAAATATGATAGTATTCAATGAACATTACATATAATCTGAATCACATTCACTTTCTTAATCATCCTGTGCTAGGTTTCTGAAACTGTGATTCCTTTCTCAAAATGGACAGATTTATTAACATTCTGCTTCTAACAGTTCAGAAAGTAAGTTCCTTGTGAAAATTTTATTGAAGCACCTAGCACCTATATCACTGAATCGCAGTTTGGGAAATTAATTTCTTGCAAACTTGTTACTGAAGCAGCCTGTGCCTAATATAAAGTAAACATCTCCAACCATACAATTTAGAAGATATGAATGTCCTGCATATCTGTATGCAAAATAAAAAAAAAATGTTAGACGGAGTCCTCTGAAACGTTGGAATCCAAAGCTACATGGCATAACATCCCAGAAGACCATGGGTACTATTGATTTTCTCAGAACTGTGCTACAAAATATCGGCTTCATACAGGTCTAAAGCATTCATTTCAAACGTTTTCAATACCATGAATATTTAACAGCATAAAGAAAATAATTTCTGACACTGTGCAAGATATCTGCAGTGTGATTAACTTTGTAAGAGTAAATTTGTGTCTGCAGTAATTGACTATCATGCAGAGGCACAGTGTGACCTTCCCAGAATGGTTAGCTAAATCCAGAAGTGGATAGGATATGCTACACCCTCCACAAGCATTCAGAATACTGAAATGTGATAGTTTGGAATGTTATGCATGTCCTTCTTCCCTGACACCTATACTATATCATGCCTCTTCTAACTGCATCTATACTCACAAATAGCTAGCACTAGCCTCAAGGTACTGGCTAATAATGCCTCTAATGTGCTAGCTGGAGACAGCAGATAATGCCATCTCTCTTGCCAGTTTGTGGCATATCACTGAACCATTAAAGTAACACTTTTCAGTTCATTTTCTTTTCTGAAGTGTCAGCTGGGCTAACATATTTAATGTGAATGCTCCATTACTGCTGTCAAGGCCAAAAGATGTACATAAAACATGAATATATAGGCCTATTTCATCCAAGTACACACAAGCATCCTTGTTCACTTACATATTCATTTCCTTTCCTTGCACTAGCCATATTAGTATTGTGACTTCTTTTTTTTTTGCTAGTGGGGTGGGACTAAGACCCTTGTACTGCAGCCACTTCTGGCCTACTGTACCAGCCCCAGATGCTAGGTGAGGGTGATCGTGGAGCAATTCTTGGAATGAGGATTGGCAGGGGAAACCAAAGTACTCGGAGAAAATCTGCCCCAGTGCCACTTTGTCCATCATAAATCCCACTTGACCAGACCCAGAATCGAATCCGGGCCGCTGCGGTTAAAAGCTAGCGACTAACTGCTTGGGTTATGGCGTGGACTAGTAATATTGTGACTTAGGCCCTACCAAAATATACTAGAAGCTTTTATACAGTTATATTATACTGTAACTTATAAGTGAAATGTATAATACAAGGCTTGATTAAGAACTGGAGAAATAAAATTGAATCAGAGATGGAATAATAAAAAATATATTAATTTTTCAGTTTGACAGTCTGTCCTGAAGATGGAGTACCTCTTCTTACAAGGAAACCATTGAAGCTTAGTGGTAAAACAGGGCAAGACAGCTGTAATCTCAAACCAACACAGAAACAAAAATCAGAGTGTTTAGATGCTGTCCGCTAAATGTTTCCAAGTTAAGGAAGGATCTCAATCAGTATCAGAAAAACCACCGCTGCTCGAATATAAGTGATACCTAACAGTTGGTTTCCACTGGTGAAAGACGTCTGCAATTAGTTCTCAACCTTTATTATAACAGTTGCACTAACAGGTTTGTATAAATCACAAGAAGTACCATCTAAAAGATAAGCTATCAGGAATGTTATTTTAATTGTTTGGAGCAAGAAGCAAAATGGGTTAAATGATCCCACATGCAGCCATTGGAAACCAACCAACCAATTCTGTGCCATAAAAATAATAGTTATATGTTGGCTGGTCACATATGCTTTTTGATTGTTCTGAACAATCTGCATTAAACAGTCTTCCTACTATGCAGCTCATAAGTCTAGAAAATCCAATTTTTGTTGTTACTTATAAAGACATGCCATTCAAAAATATTCCCCAGTAGTTTATTATCAGATTTATGTATGTTTAAAATAAGTCACTATCCAAGAATATGAATGATAAATCATAGTCAAAATTGTGCGATTAAAATCACTTAGTGGTAGAAGAGATCTTTTCAGAAACCACATTATGCTGCAAGCCTATATTGCATTGCTTGTTCTTTACTTTCCAAATTGTGTGTAACATGTTATGAAATACATTCAATTTAGTGATATTCTTCACCTGTATGATCTGTCAAATGAGGTAAATTCTTTAATGGACTTCATATGCACTAAAAATACATCTATGAAATGCAAAGAATGTATATCCAGGTGGCGTCCAGAATGTTCTGTACATCTCAGTTAAATAGTAAAACAAAACTGTTCATTCTTTAAATATTATAACTTTACTATAATTTGTAGTCACAAATTTCTACCTGTTCACTCAAAGATTTCTAATGTAAAGTTATCTTTATATGGTACATTATGTCACATCTGTGAAGGCTGTGGATTAAAGAATGAAAAACAATAAAATTATTGCATGTAAAGGTACAGAGCTTCAAATTACATTTAAGTCAGATAACAGAAAATTTGGAACTAATTGTTTAGGAGCATATTTGGACCTAAGAGTGAGTAAGGAACAGGAGGATGGAAAACTACACAATGAGGAGCTTCACAGTTGTTATTCTTTATCATATATTACTGGGGTAATCAAGGAGAATAAAATAAGAACAACATGTAGAATATGAGGGAGATGATAAATGCTTACAAAATTGTTATTGGGAAATCTGAAAAATCTAGGAGAAGTAGGCATAAACAGGATGATAATATTAAAATAGATCTCAAAGGAATGAGGCGTAAAAGTGTTGAAATTAGCTCAGGATAGGATCCAGTGCCACACTCACTTGAACATGAAAATGAATTTCTAATCTCATAATAGACAGGGAATTCCTTCAGTAGCTGAATGACTTTCAGCTTCACAAGAAAGAGACTGCCCATGAAGTTAGTTGGTTATTTAGACAGATTATTAGTAGTTTCATATGCTTATATGACATTTACAATTCTGATTTCATACTGTGTACCTTTGGCTAGTATATTATAGAGATAATTCAAACATTATCATAGATTGTATGTCCATTTATGTAAGCTAAAATCTGTGTGAGAAGCTGACTGATGTATGCAGAAACGCATAAAAAACTATTCAAATAATGATCTTCATTACTTTCTCAACTTCTTGATCATAGAGTGTATGTCCATTTATGTAAGCTAAAATCTGTGTGAGAAGCTGACTGATGTATGCAGAAACGCATAAAAAACTATTCAAATAATGATCTTCATTACTTTCTCAACTTCTTGAGATGTGTGTTTTTATTTCCCCAGCATAAATTAAAAGCACTCACCTCTTCTTTCTGTCTATGTTAGGTATAAATGCCATATTTTCTTTTTCTCTTTCCAAGGATTTAGCAAACGAAAGTAGTTGAGAATACAACAGGTATTACAATTTTTAGATCATAATCAGCTCTCTTAAACGTTGCAGACAGCTGTATTTACGATTATTATATAATCAATGCAATAAAATTCTGTATTATATGATATATAAACTACATATAGTTAGCCCTTGTCACATACCGTATATGGACAAAGGAAAACGAAGTAAATTTATATTTACAATTTACTTTTGTCAGTGTGACTACTTTGGTGTAGATATTAGTACTTACAGTATCACAGATATCTTAGATACAAACCTCTTAGATTTTATATATTTTCCTAATAATCACATGATCAGTGCTAGAATTAAATGAACCAGACAGTGGGATATTTTTACATTTTTCTTGTACTGTCCATAACTTACAAAATTAACTTAATCCTGGATCCAGATGGACTGGATTATAAATCAGTCTGAGCATAGAAGCATGTAATAAAAAGGTACAATTTTCCCTGTGCTTAACTAATTAAGCACTATGCCATGAAGGCATATGGGGGAGTAGATACATAGATCCACATTTTTTTTACCTTGGCACTAGTTGGAGGTGAGGGGTCAGCTTCACGGCCCGGCCGCTTTACCCCCAGGAAAAGAGCCCCCGGTGCCCATTGGATAGGAGACTGGGTGGGCCCCAGAGTGGGTTGAGACAACTTGGAGAAGCAAAAATTCCTGACCCTAACTGGAAATTAAACTCCAATCCTCTGTCATACAGCCCATAGATAGAAGCATATAATACCATGAAATATAGGTTGAGGCCAATATTCATCAGTTTCATTGCAATTAACAGTATGAACCAAGAAGTTAATAAGTAATACATACATTATTAACAGTAATTAAATATATATTGTATATAGTTGTACCTGAATCTAAACAAACTGCTGTGAAGTGTACAGGGGGCAATAAGGTTTCTACCTCCACCACCCACAAATTGCATGATGTCATAAGCCAAAAGATCACAATCTCACTATTCATCACCGTAAAAACCTTAAAGCTTGTAAAGCTCCTTGTATTTCAAACCTTGGAACTTTTTACAGGTTCATATTATTAGGTGTCAAAACAAAAGCTAGGCCAAGAATTACAACATATTTTAAATTAAGAAATGTTTCATTCATTTAATACCATTTATTGCTTACTTGTAAATGAAGTTTGAAACACTTCTGGAGGGCTGTGGTAGATGTGAAATAAAAATTCCTTCCTCTTCTTCAGGTTTCATAGATTAGTTCCTGTGTTTTTATGATTAGACAATAGTGATTAAATAAAATTCAATATTCCCCTCAGATAATAAGTATCAGAAACTTATATGTTTAATGACTGAACTGTTTCATGGCACTACCTCAGATTTCATATTCCATAATTTTCACTTCCAGAATCCACATTACACCCCTCTTCTCCATATATATGTATATAATAATTAATCAGAAAGAACTCAAGTACATCCCTAAAATTTTCATAATATATATCCACTGACTGGGGAGAAAACAAATGAAAATCGATTTTAGTCCTGATACTGTGTATGCAACATAAATATATTTCAAATTAAAATGACTGTAAAAACTTTGTATTTTACAATTTAGTAAGTAATTATACTTGTCTCTGCTATTTATGAATTATTCAGTTGTGGTATAATAATATGGTCCCATACTTGTACAATTGTCATGCTGTTGTTTAATTTTTTATTGTTGTATATATTTGAGAGATAAATCAATTTGTTCTATTATGTATAGTACGACTCCTCTTCTTTTGCATTGCATTCCATGGATCCAAAGTTAGTCAAAATGACTGTAGGATGTGGAATATGTCACATAAATACAAAACATATGTATAGACCAATTTCACGTGACAGATGAAGAGCAGAAGTATCTTTCACATGCTGCTATAGTCTTATAATATTAATACTAATGGTAATGGTAAGATAAGATAATGAGCTGAATGTTACTGTATAAAGATTTTACTATTTATTAAAGATTTTTAATATATAATATTTCTATGATGTGTGTGTTTATATATATTAGCATGTCATTGGGAGAAACTCGCAATGGAGACAAATCTCGCACCTCCAACATCCTTTGAAGTTAATTTCACCTACTTTTCTTACTGCTAGTTGAGAAAGAGTCTCCAAGGAACTACAAAAATTTAACCTTAGTAGGTATAGGAACAATGGTGGTCTCTGTTGTGACTCTTCTATCTATATCCACACTTTCTTTCATGTTTAACTTGTTTCATCCTGGTCCATCATACTAGTAATTGTATATAAGCTCTTAACCACCATTCAATGTAACTGATAAAGACTGTGTTATTAATTTTTCATCCTTTACATGTTTCGGACAAAACAACCATCTTCAGAAGGATATTATCAACACATATGGAAATTACTATTACCATGTCATGGATATAAATATTATATCTTTTAACTGAGATGTACATTGATGTGTTAAAACATCTAAAAATTATTAAAATCAGTCTGTTTAAAAATTAATGTTCAATATTTGTTTCAATCTAGAACAAATTTGGTTCTAGATTAAAATAAATATTAATATTACTTTGTAAACAGACTAATTGTAATAATTTTTAGATGTTTTAACAAATCACTGTGCTATAAAAATTGCCTGGTCAGTTGAAGGAGTTCATTATTGTACCAGTTCACAAGAAGGGTGATAAAAATGACTGTAGTAATTACCGTGGGATATCTTTGCTATTAACTTCATACAAAATCTTATCCAATATTATTCTCTCTCCATATATAGATGAAATTATTTGGGATCATCAGTGTGGGTTTTGACGTAACAGATCAACTACTGATCAGATCTTTTGCATTCATCAGATATTGGAGAAAAATTAGAGTATAATGAGACAGTAGAACAGCTTTTCATAGACTTCAAGAAAGCCTATGACTCAGTTAGGAGGGAAGTATTGTACAATATTCTCATAGAGTTTGGGGTATCCATGAAACTAGTCAGGCTGATTAAAATGTGTTTAGACAAAACATATGGTAAATTCTTTATAGGTAAACATTTGTCTGATTATTTTCCTATCCAGAATGGGAAACATCAGTTGTTGTTCTATGCTGATGTTGTGAATCTACTGGGTGATAATATAGATACCCTGAAGAGAAACACACAAACTTTAATTGATGCTAGTAAGGAGGTTGGTCTAGAAATAAACACAAAAACTAAGTATATGCTGCTATCTTGTCGCCAACATGCAGGGCAAAATCATGACATAAAGATAAGTGATAGATGTTTTGAAAATGTAGTATATTTCAGATATTTGGGAATGACAACAATAAATGAAAACCTGATTCAGGAGGAAATTAAGAGGAGACTGAACTCGAGTATTGCTTGTTATCCTTCAGTTCAGATCCTTTTGTCTTCTCATTTGTTGTCTAAAAACATAAAAATTAGAATATACAAAACTATAATTTTACCTGTGGTTCTGCATGGGTGTGAAACTTGATCTCTGCCTTTAAAGGAGGAACAAAGACTGAGGGTGTTTCAGAAGAGGGTGTTGAGGAGAATATTTGGACCAAAGAGGGACGAAGTGACAGGAGGTTAGAGAACACTGCATAATGAGGAGTTTCATAACTTGAACTTCTTTCCAAATATAATTAGAATGATCAAGTCAAGGATGATGAGATGGGCAGGGCATGTAGCACGAATGGGGGGAGAGTAGGAACANACAAAACTATAATTTTACCTGTGGTTCTGCATGGGTGTGAAACTTGATCTCTGCCTTTAAAGGAGGAACAAAGACTGAGGGTGTTTCAGAAGAGGGTGTTGAGGAGAATATTTGGACCAAAGAGGGATGAAGTGACAGGAGGTTAGAGAACACTGCATAATGAGGAGTTTCATAACTTGAACTTCTTTCCAAATATAATTAGAATGATCAAGTCAAGGATGATGAGATGGGCAGGGCATGTAGCACGAATGGGGGGAGAGTAGGAACACGTATAGGATATCGGTGGGAAAGCCAGAAGGAAGGAGACCACTGGGAAGATCAAGACATAGGTGGGTGAACAATATTAAAATGGATGTTAGATAGGATAGGATAGTATTGATTGGATTGATCTGGCTCAGGATTGGGACCAGTGGCGGCCCTTTGTGAATACGGCAATGAACCTTCGGGTTCCATAAGTTCTCTGGAAAGTTCTTGAGTAACTGCACAATTGGCAGCTTCTCAAGAAGCTGTAATTTCTATAGCTATGGATGAAATAAATGAATTGAATTGAAGGGGTCAGCAATGTGAATGAGTGATATATATCTTATGTGTACTGTGGATCTTTGGAGTGTTAAATAAATTGAAATTGAAATTGAAGTTTCCAAATGTTCTGATAATATCCTTCTGAAGATGGCCGTTTTGACTGAAATATGTAATGAATGAAAAATTAAAAACAAAACTTTTATCAATCACACTGGTTGGTGGTTAAATATCTTACATACAATTTCTTTCATGTACTTACTATTGTGCTGTTTCACTTAGTCTTGTTTCAATAAAGTGGTCAGAACTGTACTATGAAATACTCAATTTCATACACAGTGAACCTGTTCTTCCATTTCATTGTCAAATGTAGCTTATTTATATAGCCGTGAATTATTAATTTTCTCAGTCTCATTAAGCGTAGAAAGTTTGTCGCTTTAGGGTAGAGGTAAAGACATAATTTATGCAAAGTCCTGGGTTAAAATCTTGGCCTGCGGACTAGTTACCCTGATATGTTCTGTAATTTTTATCACTCCCTCCAGCAGATGCTCAGTTAGTACCTCAGATTAGACCATATTCACTTCATTTTACATTCAATTACTGCATAAATACTGTATAGATTAATAGAAGGCATTCCAAAACTAAATAAATATAAGTTTCACTTATAACATAGGTACAGAAGCTGTACCTAACACATGCTTTTTATTGAGTGTCTACTCTATGTAGTGCTATGTATTCATTTGTAATAATGTTATGTACCGATAACTTTAAGGAATAATGTTAATGATGCCTGACACTAAATCACATTACTACAAAATCACTGCCATGTATAATCATCATAATTTCTGTCTACACATAACCTTAAATTCATAATGTTGTATGTTAGAAGTATGATCAAGATTTGTCACACTCTAAAACTTGAGATTGCAAAATGTACATATCAGTGGATTTACATGGACCAAAAATCTGTGCTCCGAAATTTCTAAACTCAAGAAATGGTTATGATCTTTAGTTACAGAGATTTCAAAAATATTAATATTCTGCATGTAAATTCATATTTCGATACTCCACTGTCTAATCTCTGCAACACACTATTGGACCTAAGTTTTAAGGAAGAGGAAGCCAGTAATAAATTATGAGTGCTTAACTTTAAGTTACAAAGGGACAGCTGTTAGAGAGCACATGGGCAGAAGTATGACAGTTCAACTCCAATAAAAAAAAAGTTAAGTCTTTCATAAACTTTGGACTAGGAAGAAATTACTCTGGTAATAGTCACTTTGATAAGTTTGAAGAAGAAGATATTTCCAGCCTCAGTAAAATCAAAGCATGAACTATCATTATAAAGAGAACATGCAGTCTGTTTCTGTCTCATTATTTCAGAAATAATATTCTAAACACTGATAAGTATGTGAATAACTGTGTAGCTTGGATAGTACTACAGGATGCATTGATTATTGCTGTTTTTCTCTCATTTTATATTCAGAAATATTAAGCTCCTCCTATGTTATTTATATACACATTGTAGGGAAATCATCTGAAGGGTAAATTTCTGTCTACCAATTTAGGTAAGAAATAAAACAATGTCACTGTTTCTTCCAAAAATCCATGCATCGATATAAATGAAAAATCTAGTAGTCCCTACTAAATTTTATTTACTTTGTACAAACTTTTGAGGTTTTCTTGACAATGATGACTGTTCAGATCATAGTCTTCTGGGTTGTGACAACATATAGTCTTGTAAGTAAATACCAGAATTTCAAAAGAACATTCTTATTGGCCTAGACATAGTTTTGGCTCCTCTCACACTCCCATAGATATCAGAAAGCACCTTGCTTGCTTGTTTGCTTGCTTGCTTGCTTGCTACTTCCTAACCCTATCCTCATCCCAATCAATTCAACCCTGAAGATAGAGGCAGAAAGTTGCTACGAAACTATGGTATCCACTTACAAGACTACACAGTGCATCAACTCAAAAGAGGACAATATGCATATAGTACCTCTTGTTTGGAAATTAAAAAAATGCATTATTTCTCTTGTTTACCACAAAAGAATGGACTACTGAACTATTGGTAACACTAATACATAATCTGTTATATACTGTTGATGAATTTCTGTTCTTCTGTCGGGATCAACAGCTAAGGAATAGAATGGGAGTGCATGCTGACTGATGGATGTCCCATAGTAGGCATCAATATAGACCTTAAGTGTAAATATAATCTGTATTTTATGTATTTATTTAGATGCACGTTGTTTGCATTTATGTTTGTTTGTTATTGTGATATGGCATGTTGGAATTGTAAAGATGCATTGTTGTTTGTAAAGCTTGTGACATGTTTCATATTCAGTGCAGATTGCACTTATGAATATCCTGAAACATAGATGTATGTATGTATGTAATAAAGCTAAAAATTTAATTGTAATTGATTACATTTATCTGTAATATGTACAGTACATGTGAGGCAAATGAGTTGCATATGAACATATGAGCTTACAAAGCTTATGATTATGAAAAGTATCAGCCTTTTTCCACATCAGAATGTAATTTTTGTGTGTAGAGGTATGAAAGAAGGATCAACAGCAGTAAAATGTATTAATGCAAGGGAATTCTCTTTAGTGATAAGCTAGTGTAATATGGTCTTCAGCATGGTGGTAGGGGTCAGAAGACAAACATGCATGATAAAGTTGGACAATATATAGTTCATTCTGTCAGTATCATTTGGTTATTGGTTGTTATGAAGAATATATTGCTTTCATCAAATAAGACAAAGAACTAAGACACAGAAGTTAAATAGAGAGTAGGATGTTAGGGAGTTTCACAACATGTTTACATCATTTGTTATGACATTAAACTTTGTACTGGATGCATGCATTTGAGTCATCAGAGATAATTCTAATGTTGTTATTCTGTTAAAAAAGCATCCCGTGGAAGCTACAAGAAACATTTATCTGATCTCAAGTTTCTTAGCAATTGGAAAACTATGTCTGAATATAAGAAACTTGCAATTTGAATCTGTATGTTTGCATATGATACATATGTATCTTATGTAAGTTTTAAATTTGCTGCTGCTAGTCTGTTGGCGTATGCCAAATGAGAGAAAGGATTATATCAGATTCTGAAAACAAAGATGCATATGCATATGCTCAATGCAACAAGTAGTGTCCTTCTGCAAACCATGTTGCTACTACTAAACAAGAATCTGCAACAGACAGAAAATACAAGCGATCTTCACCCTGACAGAGATGACAACAGTAAGTTATATGCTTTTATGAATATTAAAACATAACGTTCTTCAAATTTTGTTAATCATTAGGATCTTTAAACCCTGTTTTATTCATTGCTTGAATAGCAATATGAATTATGGGAATATGCCTCTACTAATGCTTATGAGTATGGCAATTGAATAGAACAGAATAGGATAGAATTTATTCACATTCCACAGATCCTTCATGGTACTAAATCAAGGATGTAGTATTGTCATAATACAGATACAGTACTTAATGTCACTATAAATATAAATATATATTCATAACTGTAAAAATGTTAGTTTATACAGAGCAAAATAATTATGTCAAAAAGCAATTACTTCAGGCATATTCACAAATATTAAGAATTTCCAACTAAAGTAAATTCTTGTAAAAAGTAAGAGTTTGGATTATATTTACAATTTATTTACATTTCATGGATCATTTATGGTGAAGAGCTTAAATTATAAAAATGCTTTGTGCCATTTTTTGTATCTCTATTCACATCATTATAAAATCATTCAAACTATAGTAAGCAGTGCATGTAAAATATAATTTAAGTTTTAGTTTTAACTACTTGCCAGTATTTGATCTTTACAGCCTATCTGAAAGGCTATTAAAGAAAATGTATTCTCCTAAAATTATGAATATTTGCATGTTTCAACATTATAGTTATTCATATAGTAATTATGTTTGTTCTGGGTATTAACTGAGTCTTTATCCTTATTCAGTATAAATTATAGTTCTCTCTGTTACCTGGTATAGTTTCACAGATGTGTGATGAAAATATGGTAGATATCCTCACTTTTGTATAAATTATAGTTCTCTCTGTTACACAGAATAGTTTCACAGATGTCTGATGAAAATATGGTAGTTATCCTCACTTCTGTATATACAGGTCTACAAGAGTCAGTTAATTCAATATTACCTATTCAATGCATGCCTCTTTTCTGAATTCTAAATAGTTTCCCATATTAGCCTTTGATGTGCACCTCCATAAAAGAATACAGTACAAGAGATGCTGATATATCAGGCCACAATAAATAATTAAAAGCAGAATCATTATCACAGGTTTATACTTTGCACATATTTTGTGCAAAATAAACATGGCAGTGCTTACTTTCTGGTTAAATGGTCTATAAGATTAGCTGGATAAATGTGTTGTAAGGTTATTCTATCAGGATTTATATTTTAGTAATTTGTCTCCATTCTGTCACGCTATGGTTAAATTACGAAAATTTAGTTGCTCCTTTCAGTTACTAGTACAAATAGCAGCTTTGTTTATGTATGCTGACATCTCAATTTCTTCATAGTTATAAAGCTTAGCTGAAACCATTTGTATAAGTAAGAAATCCTGCATTATAGGTAAAAGAGAGTACTGCTACAATCCTTTTGGTTGTTTTGAAATGTCTTATCCATGGGTGGATGAAATCTTGCGACCAGTGAGCCATGTTCCAGACCCACCCAAGAAAGTGAATCCTACATACTGCCTCTATACAAGGCAAAATGAGGACATTTGTCAGGTAGGCATAAAATATTGGCTAAAGAACTCTGTATTTAACAAATTATTACACATTATTACTTGGAGAACTACATGATCATTTATTTTTTAATTTATTATATCACTACAAGATGAAAGGAATTAGAACTTCCCAATTCTAATAGTAAAGGCAAAGTGTATGAAAGGGTCTGTGAAAAAGTTAGAGTGCTAAATCAACACCCCATAAATATGATACAATAAGAGAAGAATCAAAATTTCAGCAGTTTTTAAATTTAATTGAGTCATTCAAATAGCACAGACTTCATTATTACCTTTCTTCTTCTTAAAAAAAACTGCAAGTTTGAGTGGCTAGCAATCCGTCTGTATATTCTAGAGGCACCAGGTTATGGTCTCAACCCAGAGATTGACTATCCTGACCACTATTCTTCATGGATTTGTTCAGCCTCTGCAGTGAAATTCTGAGACTGTTCCTTAATAAAGGTCATAACCATTTCTTTAAACAATCTTTTGAATTATTCTACCATTTTATGCTATATAATCCATGAAATTGAAAAAGCTTCATTAAATGACACAAATATATTACTCATTGAGAAAAATTTTACATCTTTAAAAGGGAAAATCGTAAAAGTTATGAAACAATTAGAAAATTGGTTCTTGTCAATTAATCTTACAATAAATATGGAAAAGACCAAAGCAATATTATTTCAGGGAAGAGGATCTAGTTTAATTCATAGACCTGTTCTGTATTNGGGGGTAAGTGACAGTAATGCAGTATTTAAAACACAAGAAAAAAGTCTAAGACTTACTAAAGGAGTTAAAAACAAGATGTTTTGTAGAAGTTTGTTTGATGATTTTAAGATTTTAACTGTAACTTCATTATATATATTTGAGATTTTGTGCTTTATAAAAAAGAGCAAGATCTATGCAACTCAATATTCTGATGTTCATAAGTGTAATATAAAAGAGAAATAGGATTTGTATGTCCAATTATGCAACGCTGCTCATTGTAAATATGTGTAATTAACATGGGATTAAAAATAAATACCAACTTACCCATCAAATTAAAAAGAACAGAACATGTTTAGGTTTGTAAAAATAAATTTAAAAATTATTTACTATAAACACTGTTTTTATTCTCTACAAGAGTTTTTTAGTAACAATGATAGATGGTAGTTTGGTATTTTGAGTTACTTTCGATATGGAAGGGAAGTATATAGATGGTCTTTGGACTGTTATCTTCACAAAATATGTGATGTTATGTTTTACATGGTTGACGAGAATTACTGGGAGTTGTCATCCATGGTTGGTAAGCTACAGCGAGGGGAAATTGATCAAAAAGGGATTGTATTGTACATTGCCTTGTATATTGTTTTGTACAGATTTTAAAAGTTGTTGACATATAGTGTCGGTTGTTTTCAACTGATTTGTCCAATTTTGCCTGTGTAACATTTATTGATGTTAAATAAACAAAAAATAACCAAAGAATCTTATCTTCACAAGCTCGAAAGCTTATTAACTTATCAATCTGAAGAACTGTTAACCATTAAAAATAGAAACGTTTAATTCAGCTGTAGAAGTTTTCATATATACTGAATTATCATGCCTATAAGTCATTGAAACCTTCTCTGTGATCTAGTGGGCAGCATTCCTGGCTACAGATCCAGAGGTCTGTGTTCGATTCCCGGTGCTATCAGATTTTTTCTGGGAAGTAGTGGGTCTGGAATGTGGTCCTCTCAGCCTTGTGATGATAATTAAGGAGCTATTTCAAGGAAATGGTGGCTCCGGTCTAGAAAACCGAAATTAATGGTCATGGGGATTCATTGCACTGACCACATGACACCTTCTATCCGCAAAAGTTGGCACTAAACTTCGCCGACAAGTGGCAGTGGCTCGGCCAGTGTAGTGTGCTTGTGGACTACAATCCCAGAGTTTATAAGTCATTGTATGTTATATTTACACATGTGAGTATACTGCAAGTGTGGACATGGTATGTTAGCGAACGCGACATACAGTCTAATAAGTGTCTTGTTCAAATAAAACACCTTCAGGATTGTTCTGGGTGAAGAAGTAGAAGTTGTGGAAAATAATCCCCATGGGTATTGAGGCAGGTATTCCATTTTCACACCAGCCAATGGATTCCCTCCACAGACAACACCCTGGGCTGCTGCTGGAACCACTGCACTGCCATGGCCCTGACATCTTCATCTGACTCATAACTACAAATGGGTTTACTTTTAATAAACATTGCACTGTGTATGACAGCACAGAAGGAAGCCAAATTATTCACAGACTGCTGAGTAACAACAACAAGGATATGAACTCCAAACATGAAACAACGAACTTTTCCATAAATGTTAATTTTTGCCAGCAGATCCTGAATATCATGGATAATAGTTCACTGGAACAGTCATACCTGATGAGTCACCACAGACTTTACTTCATCAGTCATGGTTTTATGGAGCATGGCAACAAAGACTGGATAAAGGTCAGTCAACATATATTTCAGTAACCTTATAATAAGAAAGTCTAATGAGTAAGCTGTTGCATAAAGTTATTAGAATTATGAGTGGGCTAAGAGCAATGGGATTCCTGTAGACAAGCATTTAGGGATTGGGGGATTTTGCCACTCCAGTCCCAATATATATTTTCTTTATTGATATTTGTTGTAAATAATAAGGGTCTATTCCATACATCAACGCAGATTCATGGTCTCAATACAAGGTGCGGTTTAGATTTATATTGCCCTCAGACAAATTTAACAGTTCATCAGAAGGGTCCTTATTGCTATGGAATTAAACTTTTTAATTGTCTCCCATTAAAAATAAAGGAAGTAGTACATGATAATAAGGTATTTAGAGTGGCCTTAAACGCCTTTTTACATTCAAAATCCTTTTATACTTTGGATGAATATTTTGGTTGTATAAATGAGTAGTAATTTACTATGTTCATTCAATATTGCATGCATTGTTTGGATGTGCAGTTGTACATTCAAGGATATTGCACTGATACCTGCATTGTATATAGCAAGCTTATACCTTGACTGGTTTTATTTGGTATTGAACATGTAAGATATAATCTCCAACTTGACTGGTATGCCATGTAACAAACATACCTCATTATAGTTGATGGATGTTGTGATCTTTTATGGTTTGAGATATATAAGCTACTAAGTTGAATGAATTTATTATGTAATGTGTTTTTATTACAATTTTAACTTATTTTATTTACAATTAAACATGGTATAGTGTTATGTATATTTTAGGTTGATGTATATTTTATGTTGACTAGTTCCATTGTTGGAGCATTTGTTGAAGATATTTGACTTGTTCTGTGTCCAGTGGTGTTGGCCTGTAATTGGATTTGCTTGAATGCAATAAATACTATACTATACTATACTATACTATACTATACTATACTATACTATACTATACTATACTATACTATACTATACTATACTATACTATACTATACTATACTATACTATACTATACTATACTATACTATACTATACTATACTATACTATACTATACTATACTATACTATACTATACTATACTATACTATACTATACTATACTATACTATACTATACTATACTATACTATACTATACTATACTATACTATACTATACTATACTATACTATACTATACTATACTATACTATACTATACTATACTATACTATACTATACTATACTATACTATACTATACTATACTATACTATACTATACTATACTATACTATACTATACTATACTATACTATACTATACTATACTATACTATACTATACTATACTATACTATACTATACTATACTATACTATACTATACTATACTATACTATACTATACTATACTATACTATACTATACTATACTATACTATACTATACTATACTATACTATACTATACTATACTATACTATACTATACTATACTATACTATGTTAAATATGTGACTGAGGGCAAGTTTGAGGAAGGTGTATGAATAATTAACTGAGCAAAAGATTTCAAGAATAAGAATTTAAGAACTGGGGGAATTATATGAAACTTCTGATCGGTAGCTGATATTAAAAGAAGGAGTGGCTGGGGCATGTGACAAGACATGATCAAACATGGGGGCTAAAAACATTTTTTAAAGCCAAAAGCATACAAAAAGTTTAAAGGCCTGGATTGAGATGGCTGAGAATGCGTAGAATGACTTATGAAGGCTGAAACTGAAGAGATGGAGGCAAAAGGCAACTGACAGAGAAGAAGGGGCATCTATCATAAACAGTACTGAGGTTGTTAGAGGACTAAAGAGCCAAGGAGCAAGTAAGTAATGGCAAAACTGTGTTCACTTTATTGGTTTATGGTAGTAGCTCTATTAAATCACTATTCTGTTTACACCTTTCATGACATTTCTACACAATGTGATCATTGCACAAGCAGTTGAGAAAAGGTGACAATAACTGGGCTGTACACATGAATTTTATGATGCAATTAATGGATCTAGCATAAAGATTTAACTGTAGATATACAAAAAAAAAGGGATATCAGTTATTTATGTTCCATGTACACTTCAACAAAATTGCTTTAATTTTGAATTAGTGTAGTTAGATTCTCTGAGCTGGAACAAACGATGATAAAGGAATAATATGACCAAGACCTTACAGAGAAACAGCTGTTCAAAGACCAAATCCAGTAACTGGAGGGAACTTGGAAATTATTGTCTTCTGGGATGTGTGATGATGAGTAGCCAGGATCGAACATACAGTTGTTTCATACGAACCTGCTGCCTCCATTTTCAGGATATTGTGGTACCTTCCCACCAGACTGCACAGTCTCACATCCAAGAAGACAGTAATCTTCATATTGGCCACCATGAAAACCTAAATCTCACAGGGGAATTTTGTAGTCTTAAGAATGTTTTCCTCAGCTCCTTCAGCATAAAGTTCACTGCTGTACACATCTTAGTGTGCATTCATTTTATCTGCAGACGGCACAATATCATTTCCTTTAGGTAATAAAGGAATTAACTTGGCCATAAGAAACCACACCCTAATCAGTAACTGCTTCAGAAACACTGGACTCAAAGAGTCTTTATCAGCAGCACAAAGACTTATTGCCAACTGGATATTACTTTCTATCAATGATGTTTCTTTCTCTTTGACCATGGTACAAGATGGTATAAGCAAAACAGAATTTCGTTATTTCACATAAATTTTATGTCATGTTTCATGGATATGTACAATTTTGTACAACAACCACAATAACAACAACAACAAATATGAGTCAGGATGAAGATATAGGATTATAACGCTGTGTAGTTCATTAAAAGTCAACCAGCATTTCAGAGGAACATATTGCCTCCATATTCAAGGTTGGAAAATAAGCCATGCAAGATGCCAGTATGAAAGCAGTTTGTAAGCAGAGCTCTGGTATCTTTCCTGGCTTATTCTTCAGCACTGAAGATGGGGGTGATATATTCCTCCGAAACGTCCGTTGACTACATGACATTATATCCCAGAAGATGGTACTCTTCATAACCACTGCTATGAGAAACTCAAACCCTACACAAGTCAGAACATTTCACGCAGTACTCTCATGCTGTTAGAGGGCTCTTGTGAACATGGTAATGAACCTTCAGGTTCCACGAAATGCTGAAAAGTTCTTGAGTAGCTGCAGAATTTGTGGCTTTTCAAGAAGGGCTCAGCTCCATGAAATTAGTTAGTTATACTCTCATACTGCATTTACATGTCCCTCTCTGTAATTAACACCATTTAACATCACCACTTCTATAATTTCAGAAAATGACAAGGGAACTGTTGAACCTTGTAGACTGTAGCGTTATAGTTGTTGACTGGAGTGGTGGCTCGGGACCTCCGTACCCACAAGCTGTTGCGAACATCAGACTTGTTGGTGCTATGACAGCCCACATGATAAACTATATTGTTGTAAGTTTTCTTATTTTGCATTTAAATGTTTTATATGTGTTTAGTGATGAACTAGGCAGGGTAAGTAAAGATCACTTCAACTACAGCCATTTCACAATATGCAGCAACAACTCCAGCAAAATGAACGTCTTGGTAAAGTGGCTAACACTACTGTAGGAGGACACAGATTCTAGTCTTGGCCCAGAGACCAGCCATCCTGAGGGTTTTGTGGTTTAGCTAAGTCCTTGAAGGCAAATTGAGGAACAGTACCTCAAGTTAGGCCATTACTGCTTCCTTCCACATATTTTCTAATTGATTATTCATTAATTATCCTATCAGTTTGTGCTGTATAATTTAAGCTGTTAACCGCATTGTTATATAAACCATAAATAAATAAATAAATATTTTTTATCAGTATGTGGTGTTAATTAAAAATCATATAATTTTTCTCTTCAATATACAGTGTGTGTCACAACCAGTCTACCACCAATGACTGATTGACTTACTGACTACTGAATTGCTGCTGGTCCTTGCCAGCAAAGTGATTCTTGGTTCTGAGTCCACCGTACTCATGATCATATTTTACTGTCTGAAGGCTTTGGGAGTCCTCAGTGACTCGACATCAAGAAAAAGGCATTTATATAACACTGGTCCCAGTTCAATTCCCAACTCCTGATAAGGAAGGAATGATTTAAGCTATGCAGACAACAAATGAATGCCTACATGAGATTGGATATATGGAAACGCTGGTCAGTGTGTCATTAATATTGTAGCTGCTACTGACTCTCACTTCTTTGATGCTTCTCATGCTTCTTATCTGTCTTAAGAGTCAAATGTGATACTGCATTGCAATTAGGTTAAAATCATATTGTCTTTGCAAGCATCTTTGCAAAATGAAAGAATGAATGGTGCCCTCCCATTGAATACACTGATATCTAAATTATCACTGCACTATTGGAAGCAGCACATTTATGTCTCAACTGGATACTCTTCAGAATCAGAACTTCAATAAAGTTAGCAATTTCCTGTCTGTTAAAATCAGCAGGTTAAAAAGGTTTCCAGGACACTAATTCTGAAGAAGAGTTATATTATGTACAAGAAAAATAAAACTTTATTTTTCAATTTCTTCCTTCAGGCCCAAGTTGGAATTAATCCAGAGCTCATTCACTTTATTGGACATGGTCTTGGTGCACATATGGCTGCTTATGCAGGACAAACTACACAGAGAGACTTCAAATACAAATTAGGCCGAATTACAGGTATGAAATAATATAACGATTTAAACTACATTTGTTTTATGTGAGATCTAAGGTTCTCATGGCAGCGAATCTGAAGATTGCTCTCTTACTGTATATAAAGTGCTGTAGTCTGGCAGACAGGGACCAGACTACCTGTTGTCACATTCCAGAAGACAGTAATTCTTATGCTTATTTTTGTGTGCACTAAATACAGAAATCCTGGAATTTTAAGATAGACCCAAATTTCTGTATTATACCGTTACTGGCATGAATTCTATAATATTGGATTGTCCTTTATTTTACTGCCGGATTATTCTATTATACTGTCCCCATTACTTCAACTTGAAGAACAATATGTCAGACTTGGTACTGTAACCACATGTTACAGGGAGGCATTTTTAAGTGCCAACCCTAAAAATACCTCAGAGACATTCTGAATACTGAATATCTGGAAGAATTTCCAGATTTACTGCTCATTCAACAATTTATATTCAGCATTCCTGTGCAAAATTTACATCACTCACTTACTCGTGGAGTTGAGGCCTTCTTGAGAAGCTGCAAATTGTGCAGCCACTCAAGAACTTCCCAGCATTTTATGGAACATGAAGGTTACCATCCTATATGATCCTATGCTCCTGATAGGCGGTATTGGGGAATATCCTAAATGATCACTTTAGCAGTTTACTTGCAGATGAATTTTGATAAAAATCATTGTTCTACAAAGAGTCTGTACTACAGATAATAATTTTATCTCACTTATTTACTTTCAGTACAGAGTAGTATATGGCACAGGATTTCCATGAGAGCTAGATCTAAAAGTTGAATAACCTCCTCCTCCTCCTCCTCCTCCTCCTCAAATGCTGAAAGAACATACTGCACCCCCACCCCCCACCCCTGAATTTGTGATGTGTTTCAGAGATGGATTATCACACAGACTTGCTCTTTCAGCTCCACAAATAAATACAGAAATATTATTGAGAACTAACTAACTCCATGTGGGAGTGTCCTTCTGAAGTTAATTTACTTGAGAAATTCTCCCTTTATATGGAACCTGAAGGCATATAACTGTGCTAACAAGAACCTACTGCTGGTTCCCACTGAGTTAAATATATGTGTATTTAGTCCACCTCCTCCCACACTATTTTTTTAAAATCAATTTTAATATTATCCCTTCTACTACACTAAGGTGTTCAAAGTGGTGAATACTGAGAACAATAAACTAATTTCCTACATTCATTACTGTTACAGGTCTGGACCCAGCAGAGCCTCACTTCAGTAAGACAGATCCAGTTGTTCGCCTGGACCCTACAGATGCAGATTTTGTGGATGTAATTCATACAGATGCTGGCCCGTTCATCAGTGGTGGGCTGGGTATCTTGCAGCCCGTTGGACATGTGGATTTCTATCCTAATGGCGGGATTGAACAGCCTGGGTGTCATGAAGATGTTATTTCACACATGAGGAAAGGAAGTGGTAATTTTTACAGAGGTGACTATAAACAGATGTACTGAACAATAAATATTTGTAATCCTTTTGTTGCATGGTGGATATACAGTACAATGTTTCAGCTCTTGAAGGATGTTTCAAACATCACATTTGATTTCATGCCTCTTACTTTTCAGTTTCCTATTCCACATTAAACTTTGACCTTACAAAGTGTCAGAATTAAAAATACACGCTAAGGATTCTCGAATATATATATGTGAGTATACACAAAAAGAGAATGCAGGCATATCATTAATGCAAATGCATCTTCCATTCATCATTAAATAACCAGTCAATACATTGTGGTATTCCACATTGATGACCATCTTCATACTCACTGAATGACAAATGATTTATTTATTGACTGTTTAGTTGACTGAATGATTGATACTTTCATTGGCTGTAGATCTTGCACTCATCTTGTTAAGAGTAAACATAGGTTGGTGAAGTCTGTGTGGAAAGTGGTCAGAACATCCTTCACCATAAACAGTAATGAAATCCAGTGTATGCGCTTGTAAGTTTCCAGCCAAAGAGGTTGCACTTTTAAACTGTGTAGGTCCTAACATACCTATGCTTACAGGCATCAGAAAAATGATAAGCTGCAACCACATCCGAAGCTACCAGTACTTCACTGAGTCTATCAATCCAGGGCTTTGCTATTTCATGGGTACAGAATGTGGTTCTTGGGAGGAATTTCAAAATGGTAGTTGCTTCAGCTGTTCCAGAGGCAACAAATGCCCATTCCAAACAAAATTTGGAATGCATGCGGACTTATATCTCAGAAAAGGGGAAGCATATGGATCATCTCTGAGACTTCCTCCACCAAGATTCAATGTCAAGTTGTTCATGATGACCGGAGTAGAAAGACCTTTCTGCCGTAAGACATTTCAATATTGCTTTCAAACTTGAATTTATCTATTTATATTTACCATATACCTTGGTACATACTTAACCTAAAATATTTTGGGGTTTTAAACATTTCACTATTTGTTTAACACTTGGTATTCCAGTCATTTGAAATGTTTTCTGAAGTACATGGATTCAAGTATAATGATTCTTCTTGCAAGTTAATATAATGGGTATATTTTGGAATGACCTGTACTGCTTTCTAACATTAAAAACATAACCTGAAGCTGCAAGTATAGTATTTTAACACATGGACAGCTGCACAGTTTTAAGAACTCAATCATTTAATATTTCACAGGCCATCTAATGAAGAATATGTGTGTTGCTTCTGCCTCAAGAAGTTGTATAGTAGCTGTGATAAGTAGGAAAGAAACAATTCATTCAAAAGAAATGGGCATGAATATTAATGAGATGAAACTATGAAATCTCTCACTATATAAAATTTCATTATTTGACCCACACTATTTTATTGGTTATTATCATAAAACTGAAAGTCAAACGTGTATTTCATGGTCACCATATTGCTACTTTCTGTTTAGATGCACATGTCCTAATAAGGGTTGCATATTTTAAGATCTATTATAACATAAATTTTCAAGATTCTGCATAAAAAATTAAAACAATTAACTCTCATCTTTGAAGGTAGCATGGCACCATATTGGAACTGTACTCTTTTATATCTTGTATGTCATATGAATACTTCACTATTATTTTAGGTAATATTATGCAGTGGGAAACATGCTTTGCATTCTTCAGCAAATATTCTTACAGCTTATAATATTATAACTGAATTTAATTCCATTACTAAATATTTCAGGTCATCATTACTACATTACATGGAATATTTCTGACTCATGCAAGAGTGTGCAACATGGAGGGGAAATTGGAATGATGTGGATTACAATAAAAGGTGACAGAGGCATTACAAAGGATATAAAACTAACAGAAGTGTGAGTATTATTATCCTCACTTTGTTAAGTCTCTCTGGCCCATATGAAGCAAATCCTTTTCTTCTCTGTTTACGTATTAAAACTCACATTTCTATTACTTTTTAAGTATGAGTTGCTTTTAATCCAAGAATGGGTCAACTCAGATCGATAAAGGAAACTGGTCTTGATTCAAAACAACTGCTCCTATTTATTAAACCTCCATTGCCTCATGAATCTGATTACCAATAAAAGTTTGTTTTATTTCTATTTATTTTCGCATTCACATACTGTAGGTGTTTCCTTCATACACAGCATATTACATATTTTACAGAAATTAATGTGAAGTCAGATTGTTGTATTTTTGCGTCCTGTTGCGCTGATTTTCATCCATGATATGTATAAAGTGGCCGTCTTGTAGTGCACTCAATTTCACCTGTTACTTCACGACATGTTTCGGCAACATAGTCCCATCATCAGGTGCCTTAATTACGCTAATCTATTGCATTGCTTGCCTTTATATGTCTTCATAAAAGTATTTAAAAAGTGCGTATTTTTCAACTATAATAAATTTACACATACTACAACTTGTTAAGATTATTCATCTTATGTGTCTTAATTAAAACTTGCGTGTGGTTCTTCCACTATGGGGGTCGTTTTTCTTATATTCTGTGTAAACCGTGTCTTGTGATGTGTGTTCCCTTCTTAGCTGGCAGCTAAGAAGATTGTTTGTAATGACAGAATTATTGCTCTGAAGTTAAAGGCGGAACCGGTAGATATACTGATTATGCAAGTGTACATGCCAACATCAGAGTATGAAGATGAAGAAGTAGAAAAAGTGTATGACACAATTGAAGAAATTCTTCAGGAACATGGAAGAGGTGACACAAACAGCATCATATTTGGAGACTGGAATAGCATTGTTGGAGATGAACCATATCAGAATATTGTTGGATCACATGGACTAGGAAGACGGAATCACAGGGGTCAAATGCTTATTGACTTTTGTGAACGAAATGGACTGATTGTCACCAACACTTGGTTCAAGAAGCCAAAGAGAAGAATTTACACATGGAAGGCACCTGGGGATTGGATGAGGCATCAGCTGGACTACATCCTTGTGAAACATCGATTCAGAAACAGTGTGAAGGATGTGAAGACGCTGCCTGGGGCAGATATTGACTCTGACCACAACTTACTGGTTGCCAAGTTCCGAACCAGGTTGAAGAAAATTATAAGATTTCAAAAGCGCAGACCTAGATGCGATTTGGAGAAGATATATGTTCAAAGACAAAGCGTGCAGGAGACACTAGAAGAGAAACTCGGTGCAATTGAAGGTGAAAGCGGAAATGCTGAAGTGCAGTGGAACAATATAAAAGAATGCATGTTAGATACTATCAGTGATTTGGTTGGTTAAGTTGAGAAGATAGCAAGAAAACCATG